ATATGTGGTATATAATACGTATTTGCATGGTAAGCTATGAAAGTGATTTTCTCTGAAGGAACTATGTCTAAAAACCATTTCGATTATTTCCGAGACATAAAATGCTCTGATATGTCGAGTTTTAAACATAGCTAATATTCCAACACGATAATATTGTAAGTAAAAAATACTACAGGTAAACAAAATAGTGATTACAAATTCTTTTCATTGAATTAAGTAAACTGAAAAGAAATTGGAAAAAGAAGTTGAATGGAATGGAAAGAAAAATTTGATGGAAATTTAATTTTTTAATGAATAAGAAACCAATAAGGTTTATAACAAAGCAACATTACGCGGCTACGTGACATTCAACACTGACTTTATATAACAGATCAAATCTCCACGTTACTGGAAATATGTAAAATTATGTACGCGTAATATTCAGAATATCTTGTGCGTGTAATTACCAGGCTACGTTTTAGAATTGTTAAGATTAGACTAATTCGAAAATAGGTCAAATATAGTCTTCACGTTCATAAATCAGTTAACATTGGGTGTTACGTTTTATAATGAGCATCTCAAACGGTTTTTCGTCGAACTTTTTACTTATAACACTATCGCTGTGGAACTCACAAGCCTAGACGTTAAAAAAATACAAATATTTAATGAATACGACGTACCAATATTAGTGATAGTATCTAATCAGACATTTATTGTCACATTCATTATATAAGCCGATAAGATTATTGTCTACCATAGAGTATCTAATTAATAAGTCGCTACCTACCCAATATATGTATATGTAAGGGAATTAGTGTATATAATTGATATAATTTGATGTGTTCATAGAAATTGTTAAATTTAAATTGACCGAAGACATATATATATATATATATATATATATATATATATATATATATCTATAACATCAAATAAAACTAGTTATTTTGGATACAATACAAAAATTCATTGATGTCAAAATTATATAGATATAAGGATATATTATATAGATATAAGATATATCTATATAATTTTGACATTTTATCAATACCTATAAATCTTGAAGAAAAACTTAGTTGTCTATCATTTCTGAAATTAAATTAATTCGCCGGCCTTTTGAGCACAGAGGTTCCAATGCGTGGCAGATATGTCTAGGCCTCGATAAACATTTTACAACAATCAACATTTATTAGAGTTTGCACTAAGCGATGTATCCCTATTTGAGTACTACACAATTTGTTCTATTAAACACCTAAAACACAACCATTATATTAGCCTGTATATCATACGCTCGGTTTTGTATCGTGCGAAATACACAACAAACATTTTGCTTCCCTTGCGCTTTGTATAGAATTTGGAGATCGATCTAATCGACAAAAAGTACAGTACGGACCCTATTAAAACTCTCCTCACATTTAACACTCATAAATACTTTATTTTCGATAGATACAAGTATAATAAGTCGCCTTTCATCATTAAGAAACGCATTTTAGAACATCGGCGTTCCCATTAATTTGTTATAAATATTTATTGTCACCATTAAACAATGTTTCGTTATAAAAACTGTACGCCTATTCAAATTACACTTCGCGAGCTGGAGTCAAACCGGCTGACCCAGGGTATATACGCTCTGAACACACACATTTCGTCTACATAGTAAGATTTTCAACAGTGATTTAAACCTACGTATAGGATATACGATACGCTATCATTAAAATATCGACACAAATTTTCACCACGTTAAAACTACCATTATGTATAAACATTAAGAACTGAACATGTCGTCTACATGTCCCGTATAAAGCCAATTACCAATGCATTTCATGTTTATTTATAATCTTTATGTATGTACCTTGAAAGTGTATTACACACTAAATCTGTTTCTATAAATCAACGCAAGCGACGCTAGTAAAAATATTAATAGGGATTTGGAAATGATATTTACAATAGTTGAAAAATGAAAGGAGGAGGTTCAATCAACACAGGGATTTCGAGACTCTGGAATAAAATAGTTTCTTTAAAAAAATGTTCATGTGTTTGTTTAAAGCTCTTTCTACGTCAATTATTTTACTAAATGTCTCCGAATGTTAGAATGCATGTAAAGTTGTTCATAAGGTAACCAGTGTGACTCGGTTTCATGACAAATCTTTTTGATACGTGTCTATGACAAAAAAAAATGTAAATTTAAACAACAAAATAATTATAAAGATTGAGGTGGATAGATTGTAGAACGCTAGTGCAGGTACTACTTTCAGATTTTCTACGATCTAATGTCTATTACAATATCTAAGTATCCTACCAGTGTAAAATTATAAGAAATTTTATTATACTAGTATTTACAATTAATATAACTTCAATATAATATCTAGGGTGTATTTCTATATGAAATAAAAGTTAAATGAAGACTTATGTACCGAAAATTACCAAAAATGCGTCAAGTACGTGTACATATCTATTTTAATAACGGTAAACATAATAAGTTTAATTCAAAAATACTTGTAATTTTAATAAAAACATCGGTCTCTGAAATAAGTTTCAAAATACTTAAATTTAAATGTTGAATCAAAAATAAGAAATTAAAATAGCGGAAAAAGAAATAATTTCCATCAGAGATTTATATAAAGTTATCAAATACGTTATGAAATTATATCTATATAAAGTTTACCTTAAATATAATATCGAATTATATATTAAAAAAATTTAACACTTTTACTCTAGTAGAAAGCTCGAGTTAAGAAGGTGACTCGTAGTCGACAACCTTTCGTGATATAACGAAGATGTTAGCAATTAATTGTAAATATCAAAACACTGACATACACCCAATGTGTAGGAGATGTAGAATTCGAATATTGACAACTCGTAACACATAAGTCAAAACTGTTAACGCATTTGTGGTTTGTTAAATTGTTTATTTTTTTTTACGTATTAGATATAAAAAAATATACCTAAAGTGAAGTAAATTTTGTAAATTTAATTGTTTAGATGCGAATGAGTTAAAGAATAAAGTGTTTCAAATTTTATCGAGACAAGTAGGGCCAGTCGTATTAAAGCGTGTCTAATTTGCTTTTAATGTGTTGATATTTTTTGTATCATAAATTTTAAATCTTTTATTCATAAAAGAATACCCAAAACAATGAATTGAAGGAAAAAGTAGTATTCTGACAATGAACAAGTAAGTGTAATGCTTCCGTATTGAATAAAGATAACATAAATTTGAAATAACCATAATAACGTTAACAGTGCCGACTCGTTTTTAACGCAGGTTGCTAAGGATACTTACATTTACATGTTATATATAATAATAGTAATACAGTACCCATTACAGTAAGTTTGAGCATGTTATTCTTTATCTATATTTCTATGTCACATTCAACATAGTATAAAATTTGTGCTATGTTTTTTAATGTTACATACCTTTTACAAACTGAAGGAATAAACATTTTTACAAGGGTAACAACAACATAAACTGAAAACAGCATGTTATGGATTAAACAATGAAATTAATCAAATTATAAATCATGGAAATGAAGTTGACATAAAATATCATCTATTATCTACATCTATCAAATGTCATCCTTATTTCCTGCAGCTAACTTTAAAATTTCGTTCCTTACATACTATTAAAGCTATTTTACTAAACATATAAATTTTTAATCGTATTGTCATCTTCATTTCTTTGACTCACAATTTTTTTGATTATTTAGTAAAAAAACGCGTCCATTTCTATTTGATACAAATATTATAAAGTATAATATTTATAAATTATTTAAAATTCGAACTAAATAATGAACAAAGAAACTTTTTAAACGATGCATAACATGAATACGTTTTCCTTAGTATATTAATACTCATTATGTCTACAAACATCTTATTGTCGCTCGAAGGAAGATCGGTACATTTAAGACATTAAGCTTATCCGTAAATAGAGGACTTCGTTTGGATGGAGACCGGTGTCAATATAAAATATTTTTTCTTATCTGCATCCAAACGACACATTTGTAATCGTAACACTATAAAAGCACTTCCCTCTAATACTACTAACACCAAACATCAAACAAATACGCTCTAACAGTTCTAAAACACGGAAGGGTAATAAAAAAAACATTTATCTAAATAGTAGTAGCAGTCATATAAAAATCTCTAAAGCTTTCCCCCACTAATAGCTATTCCGCTTACGCTAAAGCTTAAAATTAAGTAAACATCTCAGTATATAACGCTGACGACTCGAGAAAAAGTTTCGAGTTGCGCAAAACACTCGCAAAAAGTCGAAGATCGTCCCTTCAATCTACCTCGACGGGTTTAGGATAGTAAAATCAGTTTCACTCCAAAGCAGTTCACACTTGTTATCACAGCAACAAACAGTTTACCTCACACCACGCAAAAGTGATATGTAAAGTATTAAGCCATTCGCTATCGAATCAGAAATCACGCGAGTACATAATTATGTATAATATTGTCATTAATTATAAATTTATTGTCAAATTACATTATAACATTATTGTCGTCATTATTTATTGTCACAATTTATGTCAGCTTAGTTGCATTCAGTTAGTCCTTTACGGTATGATCGTCTAAATACAGTATCGAGGCGGATTGGTGCTTCACCATATACAACCATTGTGTAAAATAACTTTTAGTCATACGGCCGATTTCATAATCTATCAACAGATAGATTTGGTTGGAGATATAATTTTATTAATTTTTATTTTTTTATTTTATATATGGAACACTTACATCTGTTGCTATTTTGATGTAAATATCATGGAGCCGATGTCAAATAACTATCGTTATTGACCAAATCTATTTGTACTTAGATTGAATATTGAAACCGCCCGTTAATCTACAATAATAAAAGATATCTAAAAACTGTTGATGTCATTTCCCGTAACCTCATTTTAAACGGAGTGTAGACACAGATGAAAACGGTCACTGAAGATCGGTGCAATGGTAAGACACCATCAGATGTCATTCCCCAGGTGGTGGTGGGGAAAAGCCTCATGCAGTACGCTCATCCTCTCTCAGATGTCCTCGGAGGGCGCGTGCTCGTCGTTGTATAGTAAGATCTGGCGTTCGATCCACGGCACGTACTTGGGCACGTAGGCGTAGACCCCCGGCAGCCGCGGGTGGGCGCACTTGATGCCCCACGACACGATTCCGCCGACGTACCAGCGCGAAGGGTCCCGCGGGTCCTTGCAGAGCAGCGGACCCCCAGAGTCGCCCTGCACAAATAACAAATACTTTCACTTAATAATATTATAAACGCGAAAATTTGTTCCCATGGATGTTTGTTACTCTTTCACGCAAAAACTACTAAATGGATTATAATGAAACCTTACAACAATATAGCTTATACATCAGAATAACGCGGGCTTTAATTTATAAAGATACAAGGGTCTCTCAAAGTAGCTCTGTCTGTCTGTTACGCTTTCATGACTAAACTGCAGAAAAAATTTTGATGAATATTGGTATAAAGAAATAGGATCTTGGAGATGAAAATAAACTACTCGAAGTATTCCTGCGCAGACGATGTTGTGGGCACCATCAGCTGGTAAATAATATTTTCGGACACATTTTTACTCAGCGTTCTCTAGTACCAAACTAAGCATCGCTTGTACTATGGGTAGTACAAAACTGATAAACATACTTTTCTTTTTTAAATGAATACACGTTAGGCATATATAAACAGCCATACCTTTGAAAAACACTATGTTCATCATACAATATTTTTCCAACAGTACAGATCGAACCCTCTGGCCAAAGAGGCAGTTTCACTACTCCCCATGCCAATCGGGTCGTCAACCATCAAGGCGGTATAAAGCAACAAAAACCACGCCATCATCTCATTTCGACCGACGCTGACGGTGAATATGACATATTGTAACAGCGCTAAGAAAACAAATGATAGGTGACGCTTGAATTAATTATACCGTCGAGTTGGATCAGGACAACTTTATTGTTTGAAAGACGATAGAATGATAGCCTATGCGTGTTTGTGTTTTTCCGGACGCGTGTAAACATTAATTTCTGTACATACAGATCCCTATCCTAGGGCATTACCCGTATTCGAACTGCCGGCCTTGTTCCTTGGCACTTAATTGGGGTAGAAATTTGTTCAACGTAGCGCATCGGACACTTATCACGTGCTCAACGGTGAAGGTAAACATCGTGAGGAAACCTGAATACGTATTTTCGAAAAAAAAATTCGAGGATATGTGAAGTCCGCCAATCCGCATGGGATGGCGGTAGACTATGCACTAATACCCTCTCTACAAAGGATTCTGCATTTTGGCGTATTTGGGGAAGAAAAAAGTGAATTTATGATGCGCGAAACCTACTTCATGTTGTTACCACGGCATCCAATAACTATTAACTCCATATACAACTACAAGTTGTTTAATTAAACCAACTGATGACTCGGCGGCGCAGTCGCCAAGGTATCGGCTTCGGCGTCGGGGGTCGTGGGTTCGATCCCCGCACGGGACAACTATTTGTGTGATCCACAGATAGCTGTTCCGCATCTGCATCCGCAGTGGGACATTTGAGGGTGTTACTTACCTGACAGGCGTCCTTGCCGCCCTCGGGGTAGCCCGCGCAGATCATGCCCGCGGTGACGTTCAAGTCGCGGTGCTCCAGCCACTGGTTGCAGAGCTCGCGGCTCAGAACTGGAACCTCCACCTCGTTCACAGCCGGCTCGTACTCCGACACTGCAGAGACATGTATCTCGTTACCAATGTGACTGTAGAGGAGTGCATCTAAAGTAGAGACTGCATAAACTTATTACGATGTATTTAATAACCACCAGCTCGTTTGCTATCTTTTTCACATAAAAAAAAACATTTGAGAAACGTGTTTTTTTATGTGAGCAGTTGGCAAGCGAGCTGTGCGGCTCACATGATGTTAAGTGATAACCGCCTCCCATGGACACATGCAACACCATACGTTGCCTCCTTTTAATAAAGTGGGCTCCGGCTATCTCACCAGATGAACCCAGATTCTTCCACTTCACGCCAGTCTTCTGTGAGATCGTGACGCCACGTAATAGTGTTCGTGGCCCTACCACAGCTCCATTGTTAAGCTAAAATTGACAGCTTAACTCTATCCTAATTCTATATACTCATAGGTGTTAGCTAAGCAACTAACACCAACTATTGTTCAAAGTTTGACCGTGGTCTACTGGTCTACTCACTGTCCTTGTCGTCCCGCTTGCCCCAGCCGATGACGGTGCAGAGAGTGCCGGGTTCTAGAGTGCGTTTCGGCGGCGGCAAGCACACAGGCGACAACTGCTCGTGGTAGCGTACTCTGACTGCCAGCTGCAAGAGTACGGGTTTCCCGCTTCAGTATTATATAGTCGACGAAGTGAACAGTCAGAAATTAAAAGCATAACTTAATAAAAGCTAGCTGTGACAGGCTGTGTGTTCAGGTGGTCGTTTTAATTCATTGTACATGAGCAACCCGAGTTCAAATCCCGGTACTAATAACATTGTCAATTTTAAGTGCTGACTTACACCAGCGTTGAAGGTAAATATCATAAGGACTTGAGGAGACTTGCATATTTTCGAGATAATAACAAAAAAAGTTATGTAAAGTCGGCGAATCCGCTGTGGGGTAGCGTAGTGCACTCTATACAAAGGAAGCCTTTGCGCAACAGTGAGATATGTTGTTACTTTAATTTACTTTGCTATGAAAACTTAATGTGTTAAGTTTAGACCCAAGCATTAAGACAAAGTAAATTTCTTCTACTTAAATTTCTTCAAAGTAAATTTCTTCGTAATTATGTCAAAATTATATCTCCACTAACCAAATCTATCTATAGATGGAATATTAAAACCGCCCGTAAAACATCAGTATCCATCGTGCAATCAAAACTATAGTGCGACCAGTAAAACTATAAGGACCATGACGAAGCAATGAGCAAGCCGGCGCGTGGAATGTACCTGGAAGAGGGCGATGTCATTGTCGTGCGCGACACCGATGTTGTAGAGGGGGTGTGGGACAACGCGTCGCACCTTCACCTTCTGGCCGTAGTACGCGTGCGAGCGGCGGCGCGTGATGCCCAGCTGGATGGTCCACCCGTTCACGTCCGAATGGCTGCGCCCGAGAGGGAGGACATCAGGTATACAGGATGCGCAGTGAACAGAGAACGATATTTTCATAAATGTAAGAAGATGGCTAGCGAGCGACGTTTACAACACCCGTATTACAAATGCGTTGCCACCTTTCAATAAAGTGGGCCCCGGTTCTTAGGAGTCATTTCGTAGTGTAATAAGTACATTACACCACAAAAATTCGCCTGCGATATTACAGAAATATTGGATAGAATTGAAGTGATCAGCGTAATCGATTTACATGACAAAAAATTAAACTACTTAGTTATCGCTGACTGGGAAATGGTTGAATATAGATTTTGAAAATGTAACCAACTTCCAACTTCGTGTTCAACTTAAGCTAAATTCTATTTGAAGCCCCACTCACTGCAATCAGCCAACTGAATCATATCATAGGTATGACTCGGATAGAATTCGAATAATTTACAAAAAAGTATTAAAAAACTAACTACCGTTTATGTTATAACGATCTAGATGCGTAGAAGACTTGCCGCTTGTCACTTCTCTTTTAGGTGAGAAAACGTTTTTTATATGAGAACAAAGTTCTCCAGAACGGAAAAGAACAAAGATCAAAACACATTCGGTACTTACTTGCCGACGCAGTGCGAGGCGGTCAAGATCCACTGGTCGGCTACCAATACGCCTGCGCAGTAGAAAACCTCTTCGGGTCCACCGAGGATGGCTGCCAGGAAGGGCCAATCACCTGGAGATGCCTCTACTCCTCCAACAATGCGCTTCCTGCCTGCCCCCACGGTGCGTCGCTTTCCACATTCTGGTTAGAATTAAACGTATATATCACTACATAGCATAAAACAAAGTCGTCCCGCTGTCTGTCTGTCCCTATGTACGCTTAGATCTTAAAACTACGCAACGGATCTTGATGCGGTTTTTTTTACTAGATAGAGTGATTCTAGAGGAAAGTTATGTATAATACATTACACCCGTGTGAAGCCTGGGTGGGTCGCTAGTAACCTATAAAATGGAAGCACTTTTTATAAACATGGATACATGATCTTTCTATTCTGGTTATTAAGTTTTATTCAATGATTGATTGGTGGAAATACACTCCGATAACACCATGAAACTCAGTTACCCAAGCACAAGCTAATTTGAGCTCCATTATGATTTTTTTTAAATCATCCGTCGTTGATTCGATGCTTCAGTTTTCAAATTGACCATTTTCTCATCAAGGATTTGTTTCTACACCTTCAGCTTCAAGGATAGTCAACGGTAGATGCTGCCTTCATGCTACTGATGACATGCACCGACATCTAATTACAGAGAACCATCCAAATTTATGACCAGTCATGCAAATTTTATTCTCATTTACTTTTAATTGCATTTGATAAGATCATCTGGAACTTCTACAGTAATATTCGTAGGTGTTCCAATTCTTCTCTATATTAGTATATAAGGACAATGGCAAAAAATTGTTGACAGAAATCTCAAGCGTCTACAAATAGCATGATTACAGATATAAATATTATAATTTCTTAAGATTTTTCAAATTATACTTATGCCTGTACACTTGTTAGAAAAATTTAATTATTTTTGAAAACTCAATTGACTAAAAATATCGGCAGTGGATTCGTCAGGCTTGTTTGCCGTGCAATGAATGTTACCATATTATAAAATCAAGTCCCGAGTTAAATAATATGTCTAGTCTAGTATTATATTATATTTAGCGTTAAAATATTTTGAAAACATAATTTCATATCGTAAATACTTCTATAGGTTTAAAAAGTCACATTTCTGTGCTAAGAATCAAGTTACCATTTACAAGTTAAAATAAGAAGGATTTGCAGTTATTTCTTAAACCTAACACAAGTTTAGTAAATTAGTAAAACCGTTGAATGGAAAAACACCTGTCTGTCTGGATGACGACATTAGTTGCAAATATAAAATTGAAACATGAAGATGTTTAGTTGCTCTAAATACAATTTTAGGAGCTAGATTTTACCAATTGTGAACTATAAACTGGACGTGGACGTAGGATTTGTGATTTTGATAAGGCAACACCCTCACTAAAAACTAAGATTAGGCAGATAGTTGTTTTTCTTTTATTTTGTTCGGTGCCGTTTTTTTTTTTTTGTTTAAATTGTGCCTATTTAATTTTAGTGAATTAACCGAATCTAATATTATCATAGAGTACGATTACGAAGAGGATGATTTTGTGATTTTGGTGGAAATTGTGTTGATTTGTGAGCGACACGAGAAATTAGACATGTAAAATGCTAACCTGTAGGTGCTGGGGTAACTGCTATGGCGTCATTTGGTTTATTATAACCTTTTTTATATAGAGCGCAGTCTACTTTATTATTATTTTTTTTATTATTATTTAAATTCATAGCACTAGTATACGACATAACCTCAAAAACTTTAGACAGAAATATCTTTAATTCTAGACTTCCTATAATAACAATATGTTTGTATGATATATTCAGAACATTAAATTCTATATTTTTACATGTTTTTCGTCTTAAGAAAATTTGTATGGGAGTTCGCCATTGTCCTTTGTAAACCAGTATATATTTTGGCATTTCTCAGAAACATAACAAACATGTCTACAAATTAGTGAAAAAAGAAATGTTTACGTTGGCTTTGATTAAAGTATTTGTGTACAAAAACAAGTTCTTTCTCGAAATATTCCCCGAATTACAAATATAAGGGCAGACGAAATCAATGCGACCCCTACCTAGCTACTTCAAAATTGAACGTGATATATTTGCTTGATACGAAATCTGAGTATATGTCAATAGGAATTCCATAATATTTGCTTCTAACCTAGTTTCGAACTCGAGACGTCAACAATTAAAAGTTTTCCATTTTGCCGCCAGTGTTCCGGATTTTGTTCGTCTATTTAAACTAATGTAAGGGAATTTCTGCATGTTAAGCAAAATTAAACATTTCGTGGAATTATTTCTTGTAAATTTTGATTTTGACTGTATTAGCCAGCGATTTCGCTACTATAGATGTAACCATGAGTTGTTTAGATATTCTATATATAAAAATGTACATATTAAATATTCATAAAATCATTCTCTTCATCATTTAATTATAAAAGCTTGGCTAAAATAATGTACCAGAAGATGTTCTTGATGTTTGAAACCATAAGGGCCGCCAACTGCCTTAGAAGAAGAAGAAGAAGATGTAACCGTACAATTGACGTAGTGCAATCAGCAGAGTAGAGTATATAAAAATTCATTTAACCTGAATATGCATTAACTTGTGTTAAATTAAAAGAATCATTTGCTAATTATTAAAGTGATTATTGTAATTTGTAATCTCGGTGTATTATTCTCGGTGACGTGTTGTATAGTATAAAAGCCGATGTCTGCTTCAAGTAACGTCATTCTGTTTGGTGCGTGTAGAGCCGTGATAGCTCATTGTCTGGACGCTCGCTATTAATTCAATATATAATATATTTAAGCAACCTGAGTTCGATCCCCGGTGCCGACACGAACGGAATAGTCAATTTGAAGTGCTGACTCGATAAATCTGCATATTTCCGAAACAATAACAAAAAAAAATATTTCGGAGATATATATGCTGTTACTTAACTTTTTTTATATCACAAATAAGAACACTTCTGGGATTTTCATCTACATCTATTCATCGATTTAACGCTGTTCGATACGGGCCATCCGAAGCAATCAGCTTATATACCATTTGGATATCATTTATTGGGTAAATTGGTACAATATATTGCTGGGAATCGAAATTTTAGGGACTCTCGGCACGGATATAGAAAAGTGCACGGTTAGCGGAAACACGAAAACTCCGTCTAGAATTGTGCTCGCCAAACTGACGGGCTGCTGATTTTGTCCACAGGCGTAACGATCTGCGAAGTCACGTAGCGGTTATGCCAATACCTATAACTACCGATAACTACCACCCGATTTCCAAACGTTGTAGGCATCACTATCCGGAATTATACACTTAGGTTTGTCAAGAATATTGACAGTCTTGGTTGCATCATCAAGCGTTAACTAAATTTATTATGAGGGGCAAATCGATATAAATTTACGGAAAAATTATCTCAAATCAATTCATCACAAAGATTAAATCTGAAGCGGTTAATGGATACTCCAGCGTTTGACAGGAAAATGACGCATTGCCAAATCGCAGATAAAACCACAAATAATTACGTCCCACTTTATGTAGGACACATTTAAGTGCAAATATGCCATACTTAGACCTAATAATCAATGTTTTAGGTTTTCTTTACGCACTATTATTTTCTTAAAGATAAGAAAATGAATAGAAGTACCTGCTTTATTATGGAAATAAGTAAGATTTGAACCCCGTTAATTTTTGTTGGGTTGTTATGGATACCAAAATAATTTTTTTTAACTGACTTCAAAAAGGTTGACGTTGTCAATTCGACTGTATTTTTTTTATGTTTTTACCACAGAACACTCCACCGCGTGAACGGAATTTGATGATACTTTTTTTTAAAGCTGTTGCTTCCCGTGTGGTCCCATATTAATTTCATTGGTATTGGAGCGAGATATTTGAAGTCGGTTTCATTTTTCGTTGTTGAAAAAATGGACTTACAATTTTTTGTTACAATTTTTGTCTGTCTGTCCGTTTGTTCCGGCTAATCTCTGAAATGGCAGGACAAATTTTGACAGGACTTTAACTGGCAGATAGCTGATGTAATAATGAGTAACTTAGGCTACTTTTATTTTAGAAATTCTATTCATTTTTATTAATATATATAGTATTATTCCATGCGGATGAAGTCGTGGGTACAGCTAGTCTGGAATAAAGTCACTCGTTGGCCGATTTAATTATTTGTTACAGGAATAGGGTTAGAACTAGCAAATATCAGATAAAAAACTCATGAAAAAATATGGTAAAATCACGTCCACGTATTTACAGCCCATTTCACCGCGAAACTTTGAGAGGATTGTATTAAAAGGAGGAACAATACCGAAGTAAAAGTAAATATTAGTGGGCTTTTCTCTCGTTTCCAGTTTACGGTAAAAAGCTCCTTAAAAGCGTCTGCGTAAAGTTGTTTTCTCTAGACATAATGAAATAGATTATTATAACGGGCGATGTTTTGAGCTGCGAATTCGGCTAGTCCTTGAGACATGCTTGCGACATCATTCCCTTAATGGATTTCGTGGTTTCGTGTTTGACAAAACCTTCAACTTTTACAGAATAAAGAACTGTTTTTAAATAAGTCTACGGACCTTACGGTGGCTTTTTATACTTTAATTCTCAAAACTCACACGATTGTGTATTAGGTACAATGTTATTGGTATCGATAGTTATATATGTAAGTTTAACCTGTTTAGTAATGCACATATTTACGTTTAGTTCTCACGTCGTTTTTAGCCAAAGGGCATGGATAAAGATAGAACATGCTTTGTTGACTGAGCGGAGTGTCATAATTTCGAACCACTGCTACACTATTTTAACGTGACGTTTCAACATACTCCTATTTTTAACCGGTTGACATTTTATAAATATTTTTTTTACATTATGCATTTGTATATAAGACAGGATAGTGCAAGTAAGCGGACAAGAAACTACGAGTGTAATAATGTTGAACGAAACATTAATATTATGCTTTCGCTTTCGGCGACACGATTTTTTCAATTTACGTATTTTAATTTTCTACGAATGCACACTCAGAACGTCCACGAACGTCTGGAAGCTCGTAAATAAATATACTGGACGGTTTTTTTGAGGGGAACAGAACTCTATGCGGTCCGCATAAATTTCAAAGTGTATCGCGAAGACACCTTGTTACGTATAACGACGGGTCGTTAGGCCGGGGGGTCTATATCGTCCGGCGCTTACATATAAACATAACGTGTTTTTACGAGAAAGAATAAAATAGGACAAATTGAAGGGGCCGTATTTCAATGGAAAATCTTTATGAAGATAGTAATTGGCAAGGGAGGAATTTTGTTTGCCCTGATGTTGCCAGTGATGCAGTTGCTTTTTATGCTCTCTTATTATTCGCCCATCTTCGTAAATGTATTGATATTTTTTGATAAAACATTTCAATTCATCTTTCTACCACTTGTACATAGCCGAACTATGTGAAATTTTATTTATTAATTTATATACGTGCAGGTTTTAGAAATAATTGTCACCGTTAACAATCAAAGCCCACTCACTGTTCACTTCGTCGAGTTCATGCGATTGCCTACTCAGATCTCAAAAAAAATATATTGAAAGCAACAAAAACACTAAGAAAGTAACGGCTACATATTATGTTGTTCTTATTTGAACAACTATTAGGTATATAAAGCTCTTACAAGATGCTGTATGTCAATTATTATTAAATTCCTACGTTGCGAAGGTTGGGTTTTGACAGCATATAAATTGCCGAACCATGGCGAAGGTACGCTCAGCTACAATTAATTACATTTAGAGGCTGCGATGCGACAATACTTTTAACAACGTATTATGCTTTACTCGGTTTACTTTTAAGCAAATGTGGCTGTACGCTTACGTCAGGGATCGGCTTAAAGCCCTTATCTCTTCCTCCTGTTTATGGATGCACAGATATCGAACATACAGAAGGGGCACTGGTGTGTGCTGTTTGCTGACGATATTGTGCTTGACATGGTGAAGGCCAGGGTCCAGAGTAGACTGGAAAAATAGCCGGATAGACTGGAAGGCGTAAACCTTATGGTCTCCTTCGGTTGTAGTTAGTTATGGTACTAAAACCATAACTAAACCACCGGAATAGAAGTTTGCAACGCCAGATAAGCTGTTAACAAGTTGCTGGCTTTTAAGGTATTAATGCTTTATTATTGAAGGTACCTAAGTCGTCAGTTGTCTTACAGATCAGAAAACCTTTAACGTTGTAGTAGAGAGGCCATCTCGCTGTCATTGTCTACAATTAACGATAATTAGTAAATGCTCTTATCATACATATGTATGCATAGTATGAAGAAAACGTTGTAAAAAGATCCTCCTCTTTAACATAAGGGTTAGTGTGACTCAGTCTATTATAAAAATTATAGTTGTAAAGATAAAAATGTTTAGGTTATGATGACTAAATGCCATTTAGGCTCATTTTTTCTTTTTCATTTGATTATTTTTTTAAACATGTCTCCGAAGAGTTGCTTAACACGACGAAATATATTTTAATATTACGGTGGTAGGGCCACGCAGCAGCCTCGGCTGTTGCACGAATGGAGAGGCCCGTCCGGGTAAGTACCACGAATTCACAGAAGACCAGCGTAAAGTGGAAGTATGACAGATACTTTCGCGTTTCGTCTGGTGAGTGAGGTAGCCGGAGCCCAATTTTCAAAAGGTTTCCAACGCATCTGTAACCCTCGGCTGTGGCAGATGTCCATGGGCGGCGGTATTCACTTAACATCAGGTGAACCGTCTGCTCGTTTGACAACTTTTCGCATAAAAAAAAACTCAAGTTTAGCTATCCGTGTCGTTGTCGTCTCGTTTCATGTAAACCATTGCGAGCGCAATGGTCGAACGGATATATTGCCGGAACGTGAGGCAATTTTTCATTGTCTACCTGAGAATGTAGATTTATGTTTTGTTGAAACGTATTTTCGATATCGTATTAGAAAACGTTACACACCAGAAGAGGTAGTAACTTAATAAATGTTCATCGTTAATCCAATTTACGATGTCGGTAATCATAATGTGTTTTTTTTTTCGTCTATACCAAAAGTACAGGTAGTGTTAGAATTGTGTAGTCTTATTATTTACGTGGTTCTAAAACGTAATGGAATTAATTAAGCCAAAAGGACGTTTTATAATTTTGAAGTCATGTACCTACTCATTTCTGAACTGTCGTGATCTATAATATAATTTTATATATATTAACACATTTTTTTTTAAAATAAAACACAATCGCAATATTTAAATTGTGTTAAAGACAGAAAGTTCTTGAAAAACTGTTTTAATATTCTTTGGGAAATGAGATATGTGTTTTTTGTGGTAAAGGGGTCTTCGCGCTCCGGATTGGTATGTTGTATTGCCTTCGAGAAAATGAGACAACTATCTGTTAATATGCGATATATGAACGGATAGCAACAAATTTTAATTTCATGCTATCCGTTAATTAAATATAATTCGTTTTTTATATATAGTCACCTTTTTTCACATCTCACAAAAAGTTCTTCTTCGTGCCACCTGAACATATAACGTCGTGGAGAAAGTGAGAGACATAATGAAACGGAAATTTTCAGCGCGCAATTCAAAACGATTATAATCTCGGGATCGTCTTGTGGTGAATTTCTCGAGCGGCGCGATTATTCGAAGTGACTGGGACAGACGTAGAACTTTCCGACGCGTAATCTGTTTTTCTTAATTGTAATCCTGTGACTAGATTGCAAAAAGTTTAATTATATTTCTGCCAGGCTCGCTGTGGACTGCGGCAGGTGGTGGCGGTCGGTTTAAGGCGTAAGCCTCAGGCGAATAAAAATTTACTTCCGAAGTTATTATTTTTTTCTCAATTTTTAAAAACATTGCACCTTACACATGATAATGTTATCCTTTAGGATCCTTACAACACAGTATTATGTTATCTTAGATAATATCTGTTGTAAGTACGTTTTACAAACATAAATTTCACGTAGACAAACACCCAGATGCGAAACAACTATCTGTGGGTCGCACAAATAGTTGTCCCGTGTGGGAATCGAACCCACGACCCCCGACGCCGAAGCCAATACCTTGGCAACTATGCCACGGAGCCATCATGATTAAAAGTGTAACCAAGTTAAGTTTCTCAACAGTCACCCTGTGCATATTATAGTAGACGGCAATGTCACTATCTGAGAAAAGTTTTCATCAGATACTTAAACTAATGGAAAATTAGGTAAAAGTGGCAAAAGTTTTCTATATACAGGTGACATGAGACTGCGTATTATAAATGATGAGATTTCATTTCATACCCTGTATCAAAGGATTTTTCGCGATAAATTCCTTTAGTGGTTTATTTTGATGATTATTTATATTAATATCATTAAAATTTTGGATTGCAGTGAAATTATAATAATAATAGAAATGATAAGGTGACAACCGTACGATAGAAATAAACTTGCCACTCCTTCTTGAACCAATCGTTTGTTTACCCCATACCGAAAGGGCGAAACCTTTTGCTTAAATTCCAATTTAGAAACCGCCGTGCCCGCAAGGTGGAAGGTACAAAGGCTAACGACGTAATGATATTAATTTTTGCTCTTAAAATCGCCGTGTTTAGCTTCTGTGTCTGATTCCATTGTCATGTTTTCTAGAGCTGTTCATTGTTAACTTGCCATCCATACCTACTTGACACTACGTTCCTTCCTTCCTTGAAACTCATTTTAGAAGTCGCACGCGAAGCGGAACTGACACATTCTCACACAATTTACATCAATTATGAAGTAGGAAAAAACAACGCATTCGGACTTTATGTGGCTAAACTCGCATAGCATGCCAATACAGAAGGGCCCCGAAATACTAACCAAATGACTCTTTTACATGAACAGGTATAATAAGTATGTTGGCAATCCCATAGTAGTAATCATCTATGATTTTTTAATGTTAATGTTACAAATTCCGTATATAGGCGACTTTAATGCCTGATTTATCCTCTATCAGTCAACCTACCTGAGTGATTACGAGGTAAAACGAGACGATATAAAAATGAAAAAAGAGGAAACTAAAACAAGTATAAACAAGGACATTGATAACTACAATTATAATCAAAACAAACAGATTAGACTGGAAACGAAGAATGGAAGAAGCCTAAGTTATAGGGAGGATACTGAAGTTAAAGGTTGTTTGAAGACCGAAAGATTCTCATGATTATAACACAGAAAATGTTGATTGGGAGTCATGAGAATGGAATGATGGGTAATAAGTGTATGCAAACTACGGCGCTGACGTATGGAATTTAGATGGGATCCGTATGAGCTCATATGGTTATTGTTTTAAATAAATAATTGAAAATGAATCGAATCCAGTTACTGAGCTACGATCCATTTGGATCTGGAGATCTGCATTCAGAACAGTACACATCACATAGGAAAAAATAAAACGAATTACTTTTATCTTAGATGGAAGTTTTTAAGATGGTAGAGAGTTTGAAAGATGCCAGGCATTCTTGGACATACACAATTTACGTGGGAGCTAAACTTGGTGTCAAAAAATTGTGTAACCGAAGACCCTCAACTGTGTCAAGTTGCGGGTCCATCAAATATAATCGGAGTAATAACTGCTAAGGCTGTTTTTAATTAGATTGCATTAGATTGTTCCCAACTACAACAGTATGACACTTTCCGTTTACACTATTCTGTCTATTCTATGGGCACAAGACCCGCGCTCTGTGGAGTGCCAAATAAAATGTTTAAAACTTCTTTACTCTCGTCACCGCTTTCTCGAAATGAATAAATAATTTCTACTGAGCCTCAGGACGCCGTCCAAAATTGATTTCATAACTGAGCCGAAATTTAATATCGGTTTCCTTGATCCACCGAGTTGCGCCCAACTTTTGTTCGTATAAACGTTTTAGGACTAACTGCCCTAGACGAATCGCGATTTCGTAATGAAATAATAACTTCGATATGAAATGTAATTCAAAAGTTACTCGAGTTCGCTGTCGCTGACTTCGGTTATGTTTAAGCGAAAATTATGAAAAGTGTTTTAGTTGTACTCTTTATTCGTGTCCAGATATAAATAATTTATGACACATCCTTAATTTTATTGAAGCTAATGTTCTCACTTAAATTTAATTCTCTTATTCCTACTTAAATCAAAAGTAAAGTAACAATCTATACGTTTCCCACTGCTGGGAAAAGGCCCAGACACTGAGCCGTTATAGCTGTTGTCCGCCACACATATCTAGTATATACTTTTTGGTTAATTTGAACAGTGCCATAAAGGTACGAAATGTTGATAATTACAATTAAAAATCAATGCGATTAATGCGAAGTTTAATAGTGTGTAGTTTTCGTGTTTCTAGTCAATGTGAATGAATGAATGAATGAATGACTGAATACTTTAGTGTCCACCACACATAACAGGAAACACAAAATTAACAATAGACAGACAAATTAATGGAATGCACAATTTGGCGGCCTTTTCGCTTCATAGCGATCTCTTCCAGTCAACCAATGGCGTAAAGGAACGTGCATGATTTCATCCGAATTTCATTACAAATATGTACATTTTATGTGAGAAACAGCTGTGCTACGCCCGTAAATGCTCCGGCTTCGTGCTTTGTAAATATTGTGATTCACTTTAATTTTGAGCTGCCATAACAACCTTAGAAACAAGTTAATAATCTTTATTGAAAACTAGAATATTACGAGGATGCAAAAGATAAAGCGATTTACGTGCAATGTTGCAAGTACATTGTCCGCCGTTAAGGCCCCACTGTGCTTTTCTATGTCATTTTCATTTCTATTCGAACCCATGACACAAAGCGACATTTAATTTTAATTCCATTGCCTCCAGTGAGGGAACGGATGGCAGCAACCCCGCTTACAACGAGTTCACAAAAACTGCCTATTAGAAAGAAAGCAATCCGACGAACTTCGACGATAACTCAAAGTTATTGCCGCTCGTAAATCGAACCGATACCAACGGTGCTAACTGAATTCACCTTCTGCCGACTTTCCGACGATATTATTAAATCAATAAGTCGATTTTTGGAAATGAAGTTGGATACCTTCTTAATTAAGGGAAAAATATAAAATTACGTTATATGAAATAAGTTTAAAAACAAAAAATATATTTTCATGGATAAACAAAAAAGTAAATAGTACGCGACATCTTTATTTAGATAGATTATTTCTGTTTTGGTATTTCTTTTTTTGTATATAGATACGAAAACGGATAGAATTGAAGAGAATTTTAGAATATAAGAACTTTATT